GGTGTTGATAGAGGCTCCGCTGGTCGGGTGTGGGGGGGGGGGGGGGGGGCTCTGCCGCTTACCTGGCTGCTTCTTGCTCTGACTGAGGGCTGCTGGGAGTAGGGGGTGGGGCTTGTTGCATGTGCCCGCCCCCTGGGCTTTTTACTGCTGGAGCTCCACTCCTGTGTGCTCCTGCAGGAAATGACCCCTGCTTATCATCAGGCTAGCCAGTGTCTTTGAAAGACTCTCAAGGCAGTGTTTGTCCTATCAGTCCTTTCCGTGAAGCACCTCAGGGCAGTTTGCTTGGTTCCTCTCCCCCTTCTGTTTTAATCCCCAGCAACCCTGTGAAGTAGATTGGGCTGTAAGATTATGGCAAAGTAGGAATTGAAGCCCAGGTCTCTCAGTCTGGGCTCAACACTAAGGACTAGCAGAGCCCAACACTGACATTGTACAATGCTGGCTTTTTTGTATGTATCATTTTAATCTGTACTATAGCATGTTTGTTTTCACAAGAACTGAACATGTGAAACTAATCATCATAATAATCATCATCTGATGTTGTGTGTAGAATAGCCAGGAGATCCTAAGATTGTCTGACAGCCAGAATTTATAGCTCTTTAGGCATTATGCACCCCTAGGTGGTGAGTACACTTGTTTTTTTCAGGCAAGAGGCATTTCAGAGGTGGTTTGCAATTGCCTGCCTCTGTGTCATCATGACCCTGGTATTCCTTGGAGGTCGCCCATCCAAATACTAGCCAAGGATGACCCTGCTTAGCCTCCGAGATCTGATGGGCTATTCAGGTCAGGGCTACATGTGAAACTGCATTATACTGTCATACCATTGGTCTATCAAAGTCAGAATTCTTCAGTCCCTGGCAGCAGCTCTCCAGAGTCTTCAGGAAGAGGTCTTTCACATTGCCTACTACCTCATTCTTTTCCCTGAAGATGCCATGGCTTGAACATGGGACCTTCTCTATGCACAGCAGATGCTCTACCACTGAGCCATGGCACCTCCTTTCTTTTTATTGCCTTTTAAGAGAGGAGAATTGAAATGGGTAAATAATGGCATGTTCAAGGATGTTTGTCTGAATGGGGATTTGAACATAGACCGTCCATATCTATGGTGCTGTGGACTGTGTGTGCTGCCTGATCTTTTCCACGTTTATTCAGAAATTAGTTCCATTTAGCTTAATGAGATTTCCTTCCTGATAAAAATGCCTAGGATTATAGGCTGACTCGGTATTCCTTATGTCTGCCCTGCCCGTCAAACTATTTCCAGATGAAGAACCCCATGAATGCTGTTGACCCATTGGGGGGGGTGTATTTTGAAGAGTATATACATTTTGACCCACACTATGTGCATTTTCAGAATACAAAAATATCTGTGCCCTGAAAAGGAGATGCTCTGGAATGTCCATAGCAAAGCTTACATTTTTCTGTTCCTCCCGTGTTAAATGCTTTGCATGCTAGAGGAATAATAGGAGAAGCTGCGGCATATTCTTTCCCAGAAATAGTTAGAATCTTGTCAATCCTTGCCGTCGGCAATCTTTAACAAACAAAAACCCCAAAGAGAAATGCAGCCCTTTTTCTTTGGATCCCTGTGGAAATACCTAACTAAAGAAATATGCAGAATCCTCATTTTTCAGTTTACCAAGGTGACGGCTATGTCAGGTTCTGAATGCAATGATTTGGTAGGATGTTCATCTCTTACAAAGGCTTGTACTTAACTGACTGCAGTTATACACAATAGAACTGCAGGGCTTCTAGCTTTCTTTTGCCAGCCACATAAACTTATCATAATGGGTTGGATCCAGGCTGAATTTTCTGATGGCAAAATGGAACTTTCCTGTGACCTTCCTCCCACTGCATACCACGGATTTCCACGAAGTGCCGTTTCTGGAGACCCTGAGGAATGATGTGAGAGGGAGTCTGCAACAGGAAGGGGGAATCTGCAGAATTTGCCAATTTAGTCTGGATCCAGCCCAATGCATTCAGATGGTCAGGCTCTATTTTATCAGTTACTCATATTCTGTCTGCAGCAAGTTCTAGAACCCCAGAAGCATTGGTCACTTGGGGCATGGCTAGAACTTACATCATCCACAAGTCTGACCCATGGATGCCGCTGCCATTTTTCCCGGCTGAACTCAGACCATTTCAACTATAACATGGTGTTGTCGTTCATGGGTCAGACCCATGGATGCTGTAACATCAAGTTGTGCCTTCAGAAGTAAATTTTCACTGAATTCAGTAGTGCTTACTCCTTAGTAAGGGTATTTAGGATTATATCTTTGCTGTGCAGTGGTGGATTTAGAGTCCCCGAATTTTTCCGGTTTTTTTCCGGGCCTTCACATCTCTAGGTGGATTTAGACACGAGTGACTCATTAGAGGTTTTCAGTCAGAGGCTAGATGGCCATCTGACAGCAGTGCTGATTCTGTGAACTTAGGCAGATCATGAAAGGAAGGGCAGGAAGGGTTGCATCGGTGCTTAGTTCTTGTGGCCCTTTCTTACACACCGAGGGAAATGCCAATCATCACTTTGGGGTCAGGAAGCAATTTTTCTCCAGGCCGATTTGGCCAGAGATCCTGGAGGGGTTTTTTTTTTGGTCATCTTCTGGGCGTGGAACAGTGCAGGTGTGTTCAGAGGGTTGGACTAGATGACCCTGGAGATCCCTTCCAACTCTATGATTCTATGTATAGGATTCCACAATGAATCTTCTTGACTTTATTCACCTAACATATATTCCTGTGATACCAATACAGTATTGTTGACACAGAGCTGGGCTTCACTTCTTTATTTCTTACTCCAGATCTAATGAATTTTAGTGTATGCATTTTGTTTTTTAGGGCAAGTGGTTTGAGATTCTACTATGTTAAACTAGGCAACTGACAGTGCCATCCTAAGCAAAGTTTACACCCTTCCAAGACCACTGGCTTCAATACACTTAGAAGGGTGTAATTTTGCTTAGGAATGCTCTGCAAATTCCTGTTTCCATTTTTTTCTGTTAGCGTAAACTGTGGGCAGCAGCAAACAAAAACAAAGCTACAGAAACACACAGTGTATCCTGCGTACTTCTTGGTGGGTATAGTATTCCCTGGGTGGAGACTGCAGTAGTGAGTCATTTTGAGAACTGTGCTGTCTTGAAGAAAATGAAGTAGAGCTGGTCAATCTAAAATGGTGGCAGCAAACAATGTGTAATTTACCTTGTATTAGTAGCTGCTGGCTCCCTGATGTCCTGATAATGTCAGTCAGGCCCGCTGCACTTGTGAGCCTGCTATCAAGCCGCAAACAACCATATATGGCTGCCCATCAGGAGTCCTGTTTCTCCCCTGTTCATTGCTTCCTGCCTGGGCATCCCGCTTGATGAGTCACTGGTTGTGCAAGTCTGCCCTACCTTCATTACTTGAGCTGCTCCTCAATTCACAATAATCTTGTTGAGAGCCAGCCTGGTGTAGTGGTTAAGAGTGGCAGACTAGTCTGGAGAACTGGATTTGATTCCCCACTCCTCCACCTGAAGCCTGCTAGGTGACCTTGGGCCAGTCTCTGTTCTCTCAGAACTCTCTCAGCCTCACCTACCTCTCAAGGTGCCTGTTGTGGGAAGAGGAAGGAAAAGGCAATTGTAAGCCGCTTTGAGACTCCTTAGGGAAGTGAAAAGTGGGGTATAAAACCTACTCTTCTTCTTGTTACTCTTTTTTCTGCCTATAGATAAATATTGTGTTCCTTGATCCTCAAAATGCTTTCCCCCAAAAGTACCTTTATTTCTTTTGAAAACACAGATCTTATTACCTCAAAGTATGCCAAACAATCATTTATACCCCACTTCTTTCCCCAGTGGCTTACATCATTCTCCTCTCCTCCATTTTATCTTCACCATAACCCTGTGAGGTAGGTTAGGCTGAGAGTGTGTGACTGGCCCAAGGTCACCCAGCAAGCTTCCATGGCAGAGTGAGCATTCAAACATGGGTCTTCTAGAGCCTTGTCTGACACACACTACGCACAAGTTGAAATTAATGGGGAAAAAGAGCAGCCAAAAGATTCTTAAATAATCATCACACTTACAGGAAAGGGATATAATTTGTCAACAGGGAAAAAAATGCAGTTAAATAAAGACTTTCAAAAGGAAAGGGACTGAAGACAGAGCAAAAATCTTAAGGCTATGAACAACCAAGCCGTATTGAATGTCAGTGCCATCCCAAGCTGGTTTATTCAGAATCCTACCCAAGTCTACCAAATGGGGCTTACTCTCAGGAGAGTGTTCTTAGGATTGCACTGTTAAATGTGGTTGCATCATTATGAGTGGTTTCGGGATTCACAGTCCAAATCCCTCCTAATGTCCTCAAAGTGCTGGATCTGTGCGCCAGCGATATTCAACTGAATGGAGCTTGTACTGATGCTGCAATTCAGGGGAATCAAACCGTGGTGGCAGATCCATTTATCAAAACCTGTGTCGACTCCTATTGCATATAAAGAGGGGGTGGGAGTCCTGTAT